CTTCAGTTGAAGAATTACCACATGCAAGGAATATGTTTATCTGAGATATTACTTTTACAGAATAATATGTTGAATACGAGTTTTTCTTTTGATTTCAGTGTATCCTCGTCACTGTAAAGATAGCAGTCTCAACAGATATTTTGCCGATAGGACGTCGTGGTTCATCTCTGGCCAGTGCCTAAAGAGAAACTGCAACTTTCCACACATCAGTACATTCTCGTAAGTGTGGACCAATTATCTTTGCAATATTTAGAAAACATTCGAAGATAATGAATAACAATAAGTAGTAGTATTCACTAGCATTCAGCAGTCACTTTTCAGCAGCAACCATGTTGCAGATAACCGCAAATAATTTCAGTGATGATATATAATACAATTGTTAATTAAAAAGTATTTATATTATTTTCGAAATTTTGTAGTCTTAATGCCATTATGAACGAGCTTTTTATTACCTAATTATTACGTGTGCAGTAATTACCTATTTTTTGTATTTATTTATACGTAAAATTAATTTTTTCCTTGATTTGTAATAATAATAATAATAATAATAATAATTTATTGTTCTTCTAGATGTGCATCTGTGTCTGTGGAGCCCCCATGCACCCTCGTCGTCGACAACACGCTACGATATCCTCAATGCTGCCCGCAGGCCCGCTGTCCTTCATTGGAAACCTCCAATGTCGATTACAATGACATATAAAGACCGTCATTCGGCCCCCTGCATCCCCTGGGAGCATGCGATATTGCGCTTGGTGCTTTATCTTGCCTTCAATCATCATCCAAAGTAAACTTTTAAAACAATTGCCAAATGTGTTTGCTCCAGTTGTGGCGATCACAGAGACTAATTTGGTAGAATATTGGTGATACCAAATCAAAATAATCATATGCACATAAAATGTGGAACATACTTCCATGTCACCTACTAGGACTAGTCTCAAACATTTCATCTTAATTTATGATCTATCATCTCATTTGTCATCCTTACGGTGCCATCTGGAAAGAAATCGAATAATGTAAACTAAATGTATTTATTTAAAGATATTAAATTAAATTATATTTATTTCAATGTATGAGCAATTAATAAAGAAAATCAAATGTACCCATTTTAAAACATATTGTCTCTAACATATATTTCTCTTTTCTAAAACAATTTTCTCAATAATGTTTTAACATCAGGGAATACTACAAAGTGACAATTAACAACCGTACAATAAAGACCATGAACTCAAGAAGGATGGAAACTCGTACAAGATTATCATGAATAAGGCTAAGAAAATGAAGATATAAAAGTATTATAATATCAACATTTTATTCAAAATATTTTATAAAATATTTCGTTAAGAATTTCCTCCATTAGAATTGTTTCAATTGCTCTTTTAGAATTATATCCAGCTTCTAACAGCGACGTTTTAAAGGCTATTTATGTCTATCGTAGTAGTTGTTTATTGAGGAGATACATTTCATTACTATTAAGATTGGAAATATAGAAAGTGTTCAACTACCAGGCGAAAAACAGCAACCATAAATTAGACAAATTGTCGTCCTGCTTTTATTGTATTGCACAACTCTTTAATAGTCTATCACGGCAATGGTGCGCAGCCACAGATAATATTGGAAAGAAATGTATTTGCTCACAGAGTTGGATTAATGTGGCAATGCGGAAACGGTAAGACGTGACATTTGCTCGTTCGTACTCGCTGGAGCATTTTAACCTCGAGTGGCTATGCTATCGAGCGTTCGAGAGCCTGTTTCACGGGCCGGAGCAATGGCGCTGGCGGCTTCTCTTCTTGGACGCGACATCAACGACAAAACATCAATACATAGTATTAAAACATCGATATTAATAATACAGCCTTCTTAATAAACAATGTTTTTAGAAACCTCCTTAGGTAACTTGTAGCATTCTCGTTCGCGCGGGAAACTAATTTGACAGAGGTAGTGATTATTAATTTATAACTAAGATTTTGCTGACTAAAAGTAAAAAAAAAAACTAACGAAACTTTGTGAGCTTGAAATACTGAGCGATCAGTTTCATCGCAAGGGAACAAAGCCTCCTCGATTAGCCTCGCTTCGCTTTCCTGGTCCCAAAGGCTGCGAGAACAAAGGGGTCCTACTCCACATCGAAACACTAGGAAAGGCATAGGAAACCAGGGCTTCAGGCTGTGTCTCGGGAGAGGATGTTGAAGATTGTATTAAACAGCGTTATCTTCATTCGAACACAAACTGAGAGAGGTATCGTAAGTTGTTGTTTCATATTTGCACTTTCACTAACTGTTTCGTTCACAAACAAAATGTCTAAAATGAAATAAACTTCGAACACAAGATATCGGGTATAATCAATGCATGTTTAATACTTCGATGGATTTATAGATACATTTTGAAAACATCGACATCAATGTTGCATTCGACCTTCGCGTATTCCATGGGAAAAAGACAAGTGAGGTACGATACCTGGAGTTGCAGAATGAATTTACAACAGGTAATACCACGAGTGCTTTGAAATGAGTCGATAAGTCTCCAACTCATGAAACGAGTAGTGGATTTAGTTGTGAATTTCCAAAGCACAAGTGGTATTTAATAAGACTATCCCACGAATAAAATTATGTCCAACAGAATTCCAATATGCGTCAAATATTGAAAATAACAAAGATATGTTAAAATCAAAGAGGGTATGTTATAGTGCATACGCTGTTTATTGGACATCAACATAGCGATAGAGGTATACCGCCTCCTAAGAAAAATTAGTCACAGTTAAGGTAGAAAAAGCGATTAACTTTTTTAGATACACCGCGCTACTTAGGTGCATTTTGTACATATAGCTAAACACTTTAGTTTTAATTTCACGAGTGGAATAGTTTACGTAAGCAACAAATATGAACCTTTCACGGTAATATCCTAACGCAGTCAAATCAAGTGAAACAAAAATTGGTACCTTCCGCTTATTATACTAAAAACCCGAGGTCATTGAGTTCTAGATTACATAGGGAATGAAATTCGTAGTTTAATTGATAAGGATCAAGTACAAATATTTGGTAAAGGATTGTGTACACTTTCAAAGTATACACTATACAAAAAATTTAACGAGTACAAATATCATAAATGGAATAATATACAGAATAATCACATTTACCGTGTACTTAGAGCGGCAACTAAAACCGTGTTATTGACGAACGACACACAATGTTTGACGAGGGGATCCAATAATTACGGAATCGTGGAAAGGCTCATTATTCCTAATTTTTCAGGTGTTTTTGGATGTGAAACATGGAGAACGTTCCGAAATTCTTGAATATCTATTGCAAGTGTCGAATGAACATCCTCAGCAGATTCTGAATGAAGCCACAAAAGAACCGGAATTGCTCAAACGGGTCATAGACGGTGAAGAAACAGTGTACGGAGGTTCAATCGTCTCAATGGAAGCTTTCTCAAGAGCCAAACCCAAAAAAGCATGTCAAATTTGAAGGCTTTGCTAACTAATATCATTTTATTTCAACAGCGCAGAAGAGCGTGAGTTCTTGCAACCAGGTCTTAGAGTCAGCAAGGAGTACTACTTTGCGCCGTTTGCTTGAGAGATTCTCAAGGAAACGCTCGGATTTGTGGAAAAAGAATTTATTGCACCTGCTCGCACTTCACTGCTTGTTCGTTATTTGTTTGCCTGAAGCAAATCCGTTATGATGTCTCATCCTCCGTATTCCCCGGACAATCAATTTTCATGAATAAATAATAATGAAAAAATTGTTTCCGTGTACTTATAGGTCGTAAGATAACATTTGATACTAGAGAAGGCTTGGGATTCATTCATAATCCCAGTCCCGATTAAGCGAGTCCGTTATTAGGAAAAGCAAAAGAATAATTCATGGCAAAACGACAACGGTTGATGCTGTTAGCGATTTTAGGAGTATTGGGACTATCCCCAATTACGTAATAATTGGATACCCTCATCAAACGTGAGTCACTGACTCACAGTTTCAGTTGTCCCTCTATGTACGTGGTGGTCGTGATTATTCCATTTACAATATATTTGTGCTTGTCTATTGATTTATATACTATACGTATTGACGGTGTACACAATCCATTGCTACCAAATACTGCATTCCAGCAGTAACAAATGAACAATGGATTAGCAGATTGCGTACCCGAGTAAATCTCGGACTCAATGACCTCGCTTACTCGCAGGTATGTACAAAAAGGAAATTTTATAAGGCGTAAAAGCATAATGTTTTTACGAACAATATGCAAATAAAAATTGTTGATAATGTTGAAAAAAATTACTTCCATGCATTGAACATATCAGAACATCATTTTTATAAGGGAGATATCAAAAAAAGGACACGTCAATGAAAATCATAACTTTTTGGGCCTATAACTTATAAAAGGGTAATTTTACAACAAATTGTGTCTGTAGATAGCATAATTTTCGGTAAGATTGATAGCTGATATGCAAAAACCAGAAAAAACACCTTTAACTTCCACCCCCTTCATAAATTTTAGTACAATATGCGGTAGGGGCAAAAGAAGAATCATTTCAAATTTCAAAACTTCAGGGTTTTTTCCTTCGATCGCCAGTTTTTTTGTCTAGGTAGACTGGGCTATACCATCTATTGTTACTACTACTACTACTACTACTACTACTACTACAAATACATTTATCCTAAACAGCGTGAAGAGAAATGTGATTCCAGAATTTGTAAATACATTATATGCATTTTATCCAAAGAATGTTATTAATTCTTTCTGAATCAATATTGCACTCGACATGGTGACTCAGCTTGGAAGGCCGAGCAAGGAGTTGGGTCTCCACAGTAAGTGAAACCTGTGTCACCTGACCTGACATCTAGCGGAGTTAGTGATAACTGCTGCGCGCTCAAGAGAAATCGTCTCGCGCAAGGCCAGTGGCAATAGGCGAAATAAGTTTTTAGAGCAATATCACTACTATGCTTCGGATTAGTTATCCGATCATTACCAAACCTCTCGTGTCTGCTGATTTCTGCGGCTTCGTAGTAAGAATATTTACACACTCGTAACAGCAAATTGTCGTTTTCAAACGTAATGGCTTAGAGTAATATGTATGTCAAAAGGAAACCGACGAAAATAAAAGACCCAAAAATTCCTATATAAAGATTATACTATAAGGAAATTATTTTAACAGCCGTTGGGACATGTACACATGACAGCTAAATTATGTCCTGTTAGAACACATTAAGAGAAGAACTTGTTAGGGAAGTAGTAATTATATGTATTTATTGTCTAGGAAGATTTATATTTTCCTGGAGTAAATCCGAAAACTACGGTATCTGGTAAGAAATGGATTATCCCAATCGTTGGAGAATTTTTTGAAGAGCACTTAAATAATGACATATTATTTAAAAAATAACTTAAAAAGTTCACATATAACCAACACGAGAAAGTAAATCGAAACATTTTTTTGGTTGACGAGTTAGCATATAGTATACCACCCTCATTTAATAACTCTAAGGTAACAGTAAACTATTTGGTAAATTTGTTGAAGTAAAATTTGATAAAGTAGAAAAAATAAAGAATGCAAATGGAATTTTACTGAGAGAACCTAAAGGATTAATGATAATTTAAATCTAGGTCCACACATGCAAAAAATTTCCCCACATACTGCGTTCAACAAAAGTTCGCGCAAGCAAAGTTAATTTCTCTGGAATGACGGCGCACGCGCAAAACGCGCCCTGGAAAAACGGGTCTTCACACACACACACATCGAAGAAATTTACAACGCAATTCATTTGTAGTGTGAACGGGACGGGTAAGTGTGAAGGTGATAATCTCACAAATGACCATTATTGCGAGGAAATACGAAGCCTTCATCTTAATACTCCATCTCATTATAAACTAATGGAACTACAACTGCGCACTCTTTCTCGCATTATTAGCAACTTTTGCAATTTTCAAAAATTCAGAAAGAATCACGATAATGAGACCTGCGCCTATCTTAAGCATCCTTTACTCTACCCAAAGAAAAATGTGAAAAATGGTACTAAAATACTCTACCCAAAGAAAATGGAGCGGTTTTTGACAATTCTTCTTAAATTGCATTAACTGCCTAATTAATTTTGGGTGCATAGCTCTCGCCTGTTTTCGTTGCGTCCGTGCACGCACAGTCATTGTTAGAGCGCTCTGGCAGCATGCTTTTGCATGGTAATGCCAACCAATTGTTATGTTGCTAAATTATAGGTACTTCA